TAGTGATTCATTCAAGCATTAAATTTCTTAGAAATATTGTTAAAATTTGAAACAAGTTTCAGAAACCGCGTATTTCGTCAGGGAATCTTTTAATTGAAATGCAATTATATACAGAAGTCAGGTTGGCAACTGAATTAAATGCAGATTTTTATTAGAAAATTAAAGATATTTTTTCGTGGAAATAAATAACTTTATTCTGTAATGCATTGTTCACCATGATCAGTAATTTATTTCACTTTCATAAAACATCTGGTTTTTAGTAGCAAAAAAAATGAATCAGGTACAATATGGCGCCATCATAATCATTGAAATTACCTTGAATTACCATTCAAGGAGTTTTGTAAAGATCAAAAGTAATCAGATTCCAATCAGAAGGTGCAATACTAAATTATATGGTGAGTGTGCCAAAACATTCCAACCCAGTTTTAATAATCTTTGCCGAGTGGCCAAATATATGAAGATAAAAGTGGAGTAAACAATCGCTTATATTTGTCAAATCAATCCGCTTTTCATCAACTGCGTTGTTTAATGTAAGTTGGCCAATGAAGTCTTCAGAATTAATCGTTGCTTCGTAAGAGTAAATGTAGACAATTTATTTCTAATCGACTTTAACTGGACGACCAAAGCTTTTTTCATCTTTGAGTTAAAAATCACCAGAATGAAATTTGGCCAACCAATTTTGACACTGGCTTTTCTTAAGGCATTTCATTTTCAGATATCTGATGGGTTGTTGTAATTTCATTATCAAGTAACTATAAAAATTTAATTTCAACCTGTAGTTTAGGAGATTGCCCAAATATAAAAATCAACAATGTAGAAATTCCAAAAAGCAACTCTGTAAAATACTTAGAACTTCACCTCGACAGAGGGCTGACATAGAGCACCCACATCAAGACAAAGCGTAAGCAAATAGACAAACAATTTCGTGAACTTTACTGGTTAATTGAAAGAAGATCCAAAATAATATATGAGAACAAGATCCTAATATATAAAGCCATAATTGTACCAATATGGACATACGGTATCGAGGTATGGGCATGTGCGAGCACGTCCAATATAAAAACAATTCAAAGAGCGTAGTCAAAAATACTACGAGTTATAGTGAACGCGCCCTGGTATGTCTCCAAATAAACATCAAATATATACAGGAAGTTATCAAGGAGAGAAGTACGAAATATCATCAAAGAGCGCATACCATCCAAACACTCTAATAATAGATCTGCTGTGAAAAAAATAGCTACAACGAGAAGATTAAAAAGAAAGTGGCCGCAAGATTTAATAAATTAACAATCAATATATTTATGTAAGGAATTCCCCACTGGGGAAATATCTAAAAGCCCTGTACCCGTCAGCAAATAACCTCATTGAACCCAAGGTTCAGATTCCGGGACGTATGGTCACCTTATTACTAGTTAGTTGCCAACCTAATGCAATGGTAAGATTGAATAAATTCGCACGCCATCAATGCTCGATATGTTCATGGAACAATTAGACCAACATATTTTTAGCAGGACGTCTAATAACATTGGAAATTAGAACATTTTAGACATCTTCCTCATCCGTCGAAGCCTATATAAACCATCATTGCTTGAATAATAGGCATGAATTCTAATAACTTTTTTTCAAAAATGTCTAAATTAACATTAATTCCCTTTAAATGGGTCTACATCTGACACTGACCTATGACCTCGAAGGAATTTCTCACGTTCGATCAAACGTTTATATGTGCTTGAAAATATAACGTCATTCTGTTCCGGAACGCGAGGACGAGTAAATCATAAGCAGTATTTCACATAAGTTTTGTTCATTAAGCGAAATAACGGAAAATTATGGCCCACGAAACCATTTGTGTAATGAAAATACTTTTTCAACTTCTCTACGACAGTTTTGAAAAGTATGAAATCAAGATAAGTAGGAAATATTTCATTAAACATTAGAGAATTTCAGAGAACTTAGTGTAAAAGCTCTAACAGTAAGAGAAACATAATACGTTAAATGTATTTTTAATTATTATGCAAAATTTATATATGAAAATTAAAACATTGATATTTTGTTATTGATAAATAAAAATATTAATATAAACATCAATTTGAACAAAATACTTAAATTTCAGTTGCAACATACAAAGCTCTCAAACAAAACAACATTTTATAGCACATCGACTAAAACATCTTTTTTCGATTTTTTTACCTTATTATTTTAAATCCTTAACATGAAATACCATAAACAGTTACATTTTTTTCGATTTCGCGTACGTTGTTTATTTTAATTCGCAATAACATATAACATGATTGCTTATAATAAATTTAAAATTATTTTAGTACAACGTATAATTATTTTAGTTTTACATTGACGATAACATATGAATACAAAACACGGATTTTATCAATCTGTATTATGATAAAATATAATGCCAGTATATTATATATATACATAATAAATATCCGATATTTTCCTAGGGTTACCAATAATATCTTCAAATCTAAAACATCATTCAATAGTTTTATAGTAAACCTTTCTAGATAAGTATATCCTATAATTATTATATTATAAATATATATAATTTATAATGATTAGTAGAATATCATTTCTAATGACCACTTAGGTCATGATATCCTATCAATGGTATTTGACTCAGATAATAGAGAATTTGCATAGAATTTGAATTTCTAATATTGTACTCTAAATAATAGCATTTAAGGTAAAATATGTATCAAAATTAATTTCGTGGTATTTTCAATATCTGTTTCATATCAAATTTGTTTATTCATCCATTTGAAATTATTCATTTTAAAGCATGATGTAATATTCTATGATGTCATTGAAATGTTCGTGAGATAATTTCTTTCTAGTTATATATGATATCATTATTGTTTAAAAACGTAGCATAATGTGTTGAAAATAATAACAATGTAAGTCTCAATACAAACATTTGGAGTTACATTCAGTAATATTAAATAAAATAATTTAAATTTACATTCAGTTTTTAATAGAGAAGTACGGACAAAATTATATATTTCTTTTGTTATATAATGATATTTATTTATTTAATTTAACCTCAATCGTTTTCACTCATCATGGATTCGTTGACTACCAGTAACAAAGTCTTAACTAATTAGTAACTATAATAACACATTTATTAAAGAAAAATGCAACCAATTATAAAAACCATTTTGCCTATAGAGTACGGACAAAATAACATATCGGGCAAAGACATATTGAGGTACTATTTTTAAGAAGGCAGTTCACAAATAAATTGTTTGGTCATCTTTGGTACATCGGCACATGAAGCATATGAGCCCAAAAGGGAACAAATCATATATCGAAACCAATCTTATCAAACTCAGAGTGGGAAAAGTTCTTCTTCTAACCGATGGATCCTTTGGTCTTGTTTTAGAAATAGTTATGGTATAAGTTAAAAGCCAATCACCCTTGATCACCCTTGACAGTTTTCAATTTTCTTTTTTCTTGGCCTCGAATGAACTATCTTGTAGTTCTTGCATAATAGTACTATGTCATTTTGTCCACGCTATAAGTATGTCATTTTGTCCGAAAGTGAACAAAAATTAAAAAATAATAAAAATTTCATCAATTTCCTGATAATTGCAATAAAATTGATCTGAACATCGGGCACTGGCATAAGTTTTTGATAGAAATTATAACAAATAACAACTAGTGGGGTGTATAGCATTGTGCCTTAAGGCAAATTGCTGGAACTTACCATACCTTAACGGAATGTTCGAGGAATACTGAATGTTTTGAAATAGATTATTATAAAAATTGTAACATTGTCTAATATTTATAAGAATTATATAAACTGAATTGCAAAGTTGAAATTATTTGTTTAAAGTATATTAGAACTATATTCAAAATTAAAAATAAAATCTGAATTATTTCCGATATACAAAAAAACATTTTTTGAAAAAAAAAAGAAAAAAGTTGAAACAAAAATTTTTTTCCAAAATAAATTATTTGTTCAGGCAAGCAAAAAGTTCTTTGAATCATTTAAATCGGACGTTTAGTTCTCTCAAAAACTGCCATTTTTTACACATTTAGCTCCGTATCATCGAAATGGCTAATCTAAATCTAATAAACACTTGTCCCAATCATTAATAATTGAATGTTTTTTCAATCATTCAAATCAAATGCTCCGTTCTCTCAAAAACTCGATTTCTATTTTCTGCACTCTTTGCTCTTTATCTACGTAACTGCTAGACCTGCCTTTGCCAAAAACTAATCAGCTCATCTCCCTATCAATAGGAATCGAATGTTTTTTCAACCATTCAAATCGGTTGATCCGTGCGCCCAAAAACATGACTGGAAATTTGTATCCATACGTACATACACGCACACACACACACACATCCATTTTTTCTGAGGTATGCCAAAATGTTCAGAAACATTCAAAACGTCGAGAAATGTAAAAATTTTCAATTTCGATTTTCGGCCCATTACAATAACTTACCCTACGGGAAGTTAATAAATAAGGCTCCAAAATACACGAGAAAAGCCTTTTGTCACGTTATACAGTCGCGGAAACGTTTTTAAAACTAGACCAATTTTGGTTACTGAGTCATTCTGTCCATATATACTATTTTGTCCGTGTTTCCCCTACTCGAAGTATAATAAAATTATGATCTTTCTATCAAATACACATGATAGTGAACTAATAGTTATATTTTTTGTTTCAATTTATTTTTGTTAATCAAGACTTTAATGTCTTATTTAAGTTATTGAAAATAATCCAATTGCTATTATCATAAATTTATATCAAAGACAAAAAACAAACATCTCTGTTCAGATTTCCTTCCATTGTATTAAATTAAATATAATTAATAATTAAATTGTAAAACCAAGATTAAGTTCTACAAAATATCTTCGTATCTTATGCAAATTCTCTTTTATCCAATGATTGTAAAGATTAATCTTTATAATCAGATAATAAAAATCATATTTTAAAACTGAATTTCAAAATATAAAGTAAAAAAATAAATACTGACCTCTTCGCATAGCGAAAGCATCCTCCTGGTTGCTTCCAATGATTCATCTGTGACTTGTCCAGCTTTGAGCTGCAACTCTTGCAGCTCCGTCCTCGGCGCGCCGCCATTTTCGGCTTGGACGGGCGCTGCTGCCGGCATCTTGCTGCCTAACTTTTACGATGCTCTTCCTTTATTATGGTTTCCTGGTCGGAACCCCGGATAACTGTTGAGAAGAGATAAAATTATCACGTGCTCATATAAATCTACTTAGTTCCGTGTTAATCAGTATTCAGCAAAAAAAAAAAGTGTTGTAGATAAAGCAAAAAATATATCAAGATAATTAAATTATTATTTCCTGCTTTTATTGGATCGTTAGGAAACTACTCAACCTACCAGATTAGAAGTAGTTGTCACTACGTTCAACAATTAGTAACTCTAATCTGATGTGTTGGTACTAATTACTCCACTTTGTGATGGAATTAAATAATGTGAAGTTGTAACTTGAGGTTTTTAAGAATATCTTTTAATGTGAATTCATCTTGTTACAAATGAAATTTGTCATTGCTATATTATTAAAAAGTTGCAAAAAACTTATGTAATATCTATAAGCAGTGCTAATGTTTACGTACTACGCACCATGACATTTAACTAATTTTATCATTGTAAAGCACTTCATGTACTGCATTGTTACTTTCTAACACATAAAACTAGCTGTAAGTGGAATTCTGTCTTAAGGCAATTAAGGCATCCTGCCTTAAGGCAAATTGCTGGAACTTCCCGTACCAAAAATTATTATTTTTTTAAAAACGATTAACATTTTTGAAAAAAAAAATACTTTGAAAAATAAGATTTTTGAGAAACTATAAATTGGGCAAAAAATTACTTTTTTTTTCAATTTTTTTTTAAATTTTTTTTTTAATTTTTTTTTTTTTGAAAAAAAATTTTTTTTCTTTATTTGACATATTGTGGAAGATCTGAACTTTTTTTTCAAAGCAATCGTACTGCATAGGGACAAAATATAAAGCGCGTAAGCGCCGCGTCGCTGTCTAACGCATAAGAATTGGTACGGAACCCATATGAATGTTAACAAAATGTATACTTATTGTTAAAATCTCTATAAAATATCTGATAATTTGATGTGCATATATCTAATGATCATTTTTGACCGCCAAATGGCTCATTTTTTTACTTTTTCCTCCATATCTCCGAAACCGCTAGACCTACCTTCATGAAAATTTTATCGATTCTTCATCTTGTCAATACAAGTGAAATGTTTTTTGAATTATTCAAATCGGACGCTCCGTTCTCTTAAAAACTGAGTTACCGTTTTCGTCACTTTTTGCCCCGTATCTTCGGAACGGCTAGACCTGCCTTCGCCAAAAGCTAATCAGCACGTCTCCTTATCAATACGAATCGAATGTTTTTTGAATTATTCAAATCGGTTGATCCGTGTTCTTGAAATCGTCGACGAAAATTTGTATCCGCACATACATACACACACGTACATACATACATACATACATACATACACACACACACACATACACACACACACACGCATACATCCATTTTTTCTAAGGTATGCCAAAATATTCAGAAACCTCTGAAACGTAAAGATATATAAAAATTTTCATTTTCGATTTTTTTGCGATTACTATAACTTGCCCTACGGGAAGTTAACTAGTTGGTATTCGTATTTTGTCTTGAGGAAAGTTACATGAACTACCCGATATGTGTAAATAATCAATAAAAAATATTAATTTATGAGTGATTAAAAGTATTCGGAGTGCAAAGAGCAAATTTTCAAAAATCAACAATTTTTATAATTGTACGAGTTTCCGTGGGACTTTAATGGTTTAGTATGTTTATTAAGACCAAGTACTCTATCGTTATACCAAGTAAATCGTCAACTTTTAATTTTAACAAATGTCAAAAAAAACTATTCATTTTCTCAAACTTTGATGAATTTTTAAAATTAAACTACATGTCGTAAGGCCGTAATATATAAGTAAGTTAAGACCATGATATATCACGCCAAAAAAAGTTCCATTAAAATCGGCTTAATTTTTTTCCAACAGTTAATTACAAGAAAACGGCTCGGTAGATTTTCACCTAAAACTAATCAGTTTAATTCCCAACTAACATATCTCGAACAGTTTTTGATGTTTTAAAATCGATTTGGTAGAATGAGCCATTGATAAACAAGTATATGGTATGAGCTTAAATGTGGACAAAAAGTTTAACACTTTTTTCCAAATTACAAAGAAACGGATTGGCAGATCGTCGCACCAACGATAATCCTCATCGTGATACATCAAATGGCATTTAAATTTCTAAATTCGGTTCAGGCGTTTTTGAGCCAAAAGTCTATGAAAGGTCTAATTTTAACAATACCAAAAAAACGATACTAGTTTTTGCAAACTTTGAAGAATTTTAAAATTAAACGACTTGTCGTAGGGTCGTAATATTTTAGTATGGTCTTTAAGACTGTGGTATCTACCGTCAAATAAAAAATCATAAAAATCGTCGAAAAAAATTTTTAACACTTTATTACAAGAAAACGGCTCGGCCGATCTAGACCAAAAACTAATCAGCACGATTCCCAATCAATATCTTTCGAAGAGTTTTTGAATTTTAAAAATCGATTCAGAATTGCGAGCTAAAACGTGGACGAAATTTTTTTCACTTTTCTGCGATTTACAAAGAAACTGCTTGATACTCGTCGAGATACATCAAATGGCTTTTAAATTTTTGAAATCGATCTAGCCGTTTTTGAGAAAACGTCGATTTACGACAAAAAATCTGTTCACACACACACACATACTTTTTCCAAATTTGGTCTCATTCGATTCAGAATGGCTTAAAACGTCGAGAAAACATAAAATTAGCGAATCGGATTTTTTGACGAAAACAAACTTCTCCTTGTGGAAGTCAATAAATGATTAAGCTCAGAATTTCCTGCCTCTAATTATAAAAATCACATTTTTCTCGTATTGAAGAATAATAGTACAGCAAGTAATAGCAGAAATTACACCATATATATACAGTTTGTTTCATTTCTTCAGACATTCAGTAAATGTAATAAATAGTATTCAAATATTCAATATTAATATAAGCAATTTAGAAAATTAAGTCAAATGTAACTAAATAAACCATTACATGCGATAGAAACGTAAAATCCATCTTAAGAGGGTCTTCTGGTATAGATGCTGAATTTTATCCAATACAATAATTTTACTATATTATTTTACACGTTAATCAAAGTTTTGAGAATATAAAAAAAATTAAATTAATAGTCAAAGTTGTAATTCTAGAAGTTGATAAAATAGTAGGGGGTCTCAAAAAATTGGCACCTGACCATATCTACGATTTTAGCCCTCCAAATAATCTAAAGAAATATTTATATATATTATTAATCCAGAATAGTGTCACAATCGTATGACCCACGGACAAAATAAAATATTATTTTTAACAAACTGTCAACTGTCTGTAAAAAAATTGACTTTGATTTTTTTCAAACAGTAAAATTTGGGGATGAGCTTAGTTCATACTGAGAAAAGTCTATAAAAGACTCTGCAGAAAATTCAAGTAAATCGGTTTAGTAGGAGTTGAGAAATCGTGGGTATCATAAAAAAAACAGTTTCGAGAAAGACGCGTTTAAAGTTTCGAGAGGAAAGAACAGAGGAGGATTATTGTGGTCTGCTATATCTCCGAAAATAATTTGATTTTTGAAAAATCCTCTTGTATTCTTCAATAGTTAAACATATTCAAGAAAAAAAACCGTCTTTTTTAATTCTAGATCAGAATTGAGAATACTTTCTTATTAACTCCGGGAAGTTTGATAAACCAATCACCTTTCTGAATAGTAACTTTACATGTAACAAACTTCAAACTTTCTAGATTAAAACTTCTCCATCAAAATCAAATACTCGTATTTGAATTTTTAATGTAGTATTTGTAGATGACAGAAGAATAATCCAATATAGCAAAATTAATTAATCAATGCTTATATTAAAATTAACGATAATTGTGCACAAAAGGAATGTTATCGAGGAGTAAATATTTATAGTTATTTCGATGCTCGAAATATTTTCAGTTAAAATTTTTAATGAATGCATTATTTGATTTTTAGTGAGTGTCTAATTTAAAAAAAAAGTTTTTTAAAGTTGAAGAAGGGGATATCCCATATCAAACATAGCAAATATTCATAAAAGAAAAATTTTGTGGATAGAAATAAATATTTTTTGGGAAATGACTTGTTAGTTCAGAAAATTGAAATCGTAAAATATTATTTATTTCAAGTTACATTGAATTTGTCAATATATTATCAAATGTATTTTGATTTGATAGCATGTGATGGTTAAAAATATAGAACACTTTTTAATAAAAATATAAACGATATAATTTTTTTAACCATGCAGAAAAAAATGTATGTATCAAAACAAATCATGAATTATTTTTGGAGCAAAATGTTTAGGCTTTCCCAAAAAATGTATTATCTGTATAATGCGTTCTGTAATAATACGCCCCAATATCAAACCGGAGAAAAATCAATACTTAAACCAGAAGCACACCAAGAAGCTCATATTTAAAACTATATACCCTATGCATATGCGCCCTGTACAAATTTCCTTACAAGCGAAAGGGTTTGCGCATATAGTTAATATCATGATTAATAAGAGTAAATAAATATTTCATTATCCCTTCACTAACAACATTGTATTCAAATTATTTAAAACAAATAAAGTATTTCGTTACAAATCTTATATTCGGCTTCAAGCACACCCAAGGTCTCGTATTATGGGCACATGAATACGCCTCTAAGAATATTTCTATTTCATTTACACTAATAATAAATGAATTTTGATTGAACGTACCTCTATTTTCCCACTTTATCGACACTAGTATTATAATTTGCACTTAAAACTATGCAATAAAGACAGCACACATGTATTATAACAAGACACAATTTACGAGCACGAAAATCGAACTGTCAAACTGTTAAAGGCTGCACAACATTACGCCGTGTATTGTATTGCCAGATGGAATAGATAAGATTTTTGATCGTTTGACCTTGAAAAGGTTACGAGAGCGGAAATTTAAATTTTACACTAAATTTCAATAAAAATATTCAATGTTTTTTCATATTTTATTCATGTCCAAATTTCTATTTCAAGCAAATAAATTTTAATTTTATACATAAATATACTATTCTAATAAATATCATATTCTGGTAGTTCTACAATATGGTATAATAAAGATTATGAAGTACCCGTTGTAACGACGGGGCGTGGCAAGGAAATTTAAGAATAAAATGCATTTTCAATTTTATAATTTTGATATTACAAAGTATATAATTATACTCCATACTGTTTCAGAAATAATTTTATAAATGAATTAAAATTAAAATATTTTTTCTCGTTTCTCTACTGTTATCTATCGTCCACTACTAAGTTTTCTTATTACAAGTTACAGTTATTACAAGCAAAATTAAATTTCAATGACATAATAATGATTAAAATCGCATACTGAAACGCAATTATATTCAAATATATATTTTAAACATACACAATAGTAGAAATACTTTATTAAGAAAAGAGTCTCACGATTTTTAAGAAAATAACTTGAACTTAACACTTTGATCAAGTAAATCAATTTTCGAAATTATTCCTGAAAAAGAACAGGACTTGGAACTATAAATATATTTAAAATATTAATATTTTTATAAGTTTTTGCTAATGTATAATGTATATTTCATAACCAGAATTAATGTACTTATTTTTATTGAGAAACAGTAAACAAAATATGTTCTAACTACCCTTGGTATACTTCTGGCTGCTCTGGATATTTGTGCAGAAATATACTCATAGTCATTTAAACTGCTTGCAACTATTTTTTTGTCTGATAATTCAAATATTAACAATGAGTGTTATTTTTTTAAACTTATTCAAGCGTCGACACGAAGAGTAAATGATAAACGTATCCCCTTCATGAGGTATTGGCAATAGGTCATCGCAATGTTTAATAAATGATTATCAAGATTACCTAGATGACTTTATATATTGTCTTAATTTTTATGACCAAGCCAATACCAACAAACCAAACTAAAATTCTTTAGAAATTCATATTCATGAATTGCAATTTGTTACGTATCAAAACAATAGCTTAAAAATACAGTAGTTTGTAGTTTTTAATAATATTGGTAACATCAGAAGCAACACTATAATTTTTCTTTACATTGAATTTGTAATCAAATATACTATCATGAATAACTATTTCATGCATAATTGGCTCACCATAAATGAAATAAGAATAATATTGGAATCTTTTATTTAATTACAATAAAATATTATGTGCCAAAACTATTGACTTAATTAATTAAATAAATTACATGTATCTCAGAAATCATAATTTACACATTTCAATGTAATTTTCAGTGAGTATAAAATAAAATTCAATAGTCAATGCTTACAACAGATTACTCTATTTTATAAAACTATATATTATGACATGATATGAGATGGTTTTATAAATAAAACAATTAAAATTTAAATAGTTAAAATTTCTTATTTAGTATTGCATCACCTTCTCAAATTTCATAAAAGATTATTTGAATATTTACTACAGAACACACAGATATATAATGTAGTACACATTTTACATTTCATGACAAACCATATATTTTATAAATATTGGGCTTGAGGTGAGGTCGTTAAAACTGTTTACTGAAACATCACATTGATTTAATTCTGTAAAATATTATCCAATTGATACAATTTGCTGGAATATATGACACCAACTGATTTAGATTAAAAAATTCAAGTTATCGTTTAATAGAATAAATTAATTAAAATTGATTACCGTTCTCTACACTATGAAATACACTAATTAAATCATTAAATAATAATGTTATATATTTAAGCATATTTCTATTTATAAAAAAGTAAAAATATATCTAGGAGAGTTTTAAAAATGCACAACGCGCGATTACAGTCCATTATGTTGTGCATGTCAGATAAGGGGAATATTGGCAATAGAAGGCTCTTTGAGTCTATATTACATAACCACTGCAATGCCTTGTAGCACAACCACAAATAATTTATACAATAGTACAATGAATATGAAACAATGCGACAATATTCAAGTCACATGTTCATCCGAGCAATGCCTCCATTGTGTAAGGTCTGGGAGCCTCATGTCAGTCTAATATTACCAACTGTGTATCAGTCATTGGTCGAATTGGTAAATTTCGCCACGGTTTTCGGGCCGCTCGCCGTAATTCAGTGGAAGATAAGGATCGCCTCGCCCTTCTGATTAAAAAAAAAATTAAATGTCAATCTTCATTGCTGAAATAATAAATCAATCATTCTGCACAATTGCAATCACGTTTACAAATCACAATTTAATTACATGATTTAATTTTAATTTAATTTAATTGTTAGTAATTTCAATGTGGTATTATAGTAGTAAAAAATAGCAGTTCTGTTATTTTAATATTTTATCAGATTAAACAAATGTGGCAAATGCCTGTAGGATTGTCACAAATATTTTATGGTTTTTCAAAGAATTGCTTTAATTCCTGATCATAATATAATTCACTAAGAATATGTTTTTCATAATTTAAACATGAAGGTACAGTGGTATCTCAAAGTACGAGTTCAATTTGTTCCATAATCACGCTCGTATGTTAAATAGCTCGTATATCGAAGCAATTTTTTCCAACAAATACATTGTAATGTCATTAATTTGTCCAACACTGAGGAATTTGTGAAGTTTTTTGAATATTGAAAATAAATTTTCTTTTTTGGGAAATCTTTATCTACAAAATTTTAGAGCTCAGAAAGTTGCTTATAAAATTATTGTAAGACCCTTAGTCTTTAGTTTTCTTTGGACCCCTAGTTATAGAAATAAATATTATTTTGTAAATGTTCGAAATATCAACAAACATGAACTTAACATATCTATTTGTACAAACATTATTAATATATAGTTAATATTTTAAATTATTCTCGATATATTCGCGTGAGTATTACTACATGATTAATATAATTAATATATTATTAATGAATAATTGAAAAACTAACTCAAAAATAATTTACTATCATGGAACAGCCAAAATATTTTTTTTGGTAGGAAAATCGTCGGCGCGACCGACAAAATTTTTCGGTCAAATAAAATAGCTATGAAATTATTACTCGCTCAAAGCAACGAACCGCTTTAGCCGGCCATATATCGAAACACTCGTATGTCAGGTCACTTGTAATTCTGTATTACTGATTTTTGGAATAAAATCATATATAAATTCAACATAGGGACATAAAAAAGATATATCAACTTACTTGCTAGTTTCAGTGGCTCGAAAATATACGTCATCTGGTGCATCCATCCAACTTATAACTTGTTTACGTCCAGATCCACTACGACTGAGCTGAGCTATCTTCGGCTTACCATTAAACTGAATGTTAGAAAAAAATTTCAACTATGCTTGTTCGATTGTCATTCTATCATAAACAATATTTTAACTGGTCAAGATTGATAAAAAGCTCAATTTTCATTCAACATTGAATAACTAGGAAAATCTCCTTCAAAATGAAAATATTTTATTTGACCAGCACACTGATATAGAGAGAAATGACTATTTCGAAATATAAGCATATTTTAATACATCTTGGTAACTTACGTGATGTATATGTCGTGGAAGTGGTTGGCCTGTTGCCTGAGCTGCTGCAAGCATAGCTGCATATTGTTCCGGACTTGGCCTGTGTTGAGGCATAGGGTCTTTGTTTGGTCTTTTTGCTGGCGGCGCTGCAACTGCTGCCGCTAAAAAGTTTATATAATTTGTATTATTTACTGCTGATCCTAAATATTGTGAAGGAGATTTGAAACATGTCCTTACGTTCTAAACCATTGACTTCGTCAAACCTACGTTTCACAGTTGTAGGTGGCACAACACAATTTATTGGTGTCTTTTCAATAAGATCTGATTTATTAGGCACCCTTTCGTACATCAATGAACCGTCGGCAGCAATTGGTGGTTTTGGGAAAGATACTTTTTCTGGTTTTGGCATATTCTAAAAAATAAACAATACAAAATATTTTTATATTCAAGTTCAAAGTAAATTCACTTCATATTCTTACTTCTTTTAATGTAAGTATAAGCCAGTCAGCAACAGTTGTACCAGGATTGCCTAATCTATTGGCAATTTGCGTCACGCTTCCCCGATCTTTTTTGCGATATACGAGAAGTTGTTTTAATTCTGGTAATGTTCTTCCAGCCATGGCTAATGCACCTGTAACAAAGACAATAGTTATTAATAATTCATAAATATTATAAATGGTTAATTTTATATAAAAACTAAATATAAAAAAATTGCATACTAACATTCTTGTTTTACTGCTGCTGCATTTATTGGGTAGAATGGTGCTCTTGCAGCATGTCTCGCTTTTACTAAATGTCTGCACAATATTCTTGATGCTCTAGTTATGGCTGTTGCATGTAGATAAAATGCTGTTCGTGTTTTCATAACAGGCCTGGGACTACCCGACCTCATAGCCACACAGTGCACTGTTGCATAATGTCTAGCTAAATGTGCTCGTAATTTGAATTCCTATACAAATATATTAATAATAAATAAAAGTAAATAAAATATTAGTTATTTTCTCTAGAAATTCTATGTTTAATAAATACCTTTCCACACCCAGCAACTGTGCACCTATGTGGACGATGTGTTGCGCCACCTACACCAGTGGCAACTCCACCAGAACCTAGTTGTCCACTATTCTGCAAAAGCCGTTCTGCATCTTGAATATCAGTTATATCTCCTGTGCCACTCAAAACTGTAAGCTCTAAATCTGCAAATGCAATGAAGTTTAAGTTTAATATTTATTAAACAATATTATGTTTATTCAAACTGAAAAATTGATTAATTTCAAAACATGAATAGAATAAGGGATAAAACTACTCAACAATAAACACCAAACAAGATTAATCTAACATAAAACTGTTGCT